CTTACATTTCTCAGAACAAATGCAAAGCATACCTGATAAAGCAGTAGGAAATTCAACATTACTATTTGAATATAGTACATTCCAAAATAAAATAATACAATACCCGATTACTGTATCCTTTATCATCAAATCCACCAAAGATGTACAGCTTCCCATTAATGCTTGCCCCACAACTTCCTGACATGGAGGTGGGTAACTCTCCTTCCATTAGGTGCATTGTCCTGCAATACAGTAGATATTATCAACTCTTATAATGCTATTTCCAAAACTACTAAAAGCAACAAAAACAAAACAGATGTAGTAATGTTTTTTGTATACTGGGAAACATTTATTAAAAAAAAAAAAGTAACATTGCAACTGCAACTTTTCGCTAAAAATGGCGCTAGAAACTGCAGCTGATGTACTAAGTCATTTTAATTTTCCTGAAGATGAAGCCTGTATTAAAAGAACATCAGAAGGGCTGATGGAATAATTATTCAATATGTGAAATATTATTAATGTTAACTTTTTTAAAGTTATCAAGAACATGATAAATAGAATAAAAGTAATCAAAAACATGGTATTGCTGCTGTTTTACAGACTGAAAACTGAAACACAAGTCAAATATATTCCCTACTTTTGTTAACCATTGTGCCACTCCTAAAATCGGATTCTGCACTGTATTTAAAAAGTTTCAGTAACAACAGTTTTAGCATGAGGACTCTGTTCTTCTTCAATTAGCAGAGGCTCCAATGTCTTCCTTATTAGCTTCACTTACAAGCCAGTAATTTCCTGAGACAGAAATTCTAACATCAAGCAATCTCAAGCACTACATAATTATATGATGAAAATGAGCTTCTGCCAAACTAATGAGATCAATCATCAACCCGGGCCTGCACTTAAAAATCATCATTCCACACTTGAAAACAGCTTTCCTAGAGTCTCAAATTTCTACAGGAAACAGGCACCGACATGTATCTCTACATATCTCACTCTCTCACACACAATGTGGCTTCCCTAGGATTTGCAACTCATTTTCGCACCTTTTCTCTACAGCTACTAGCCAAATCCCAGTTTCTCTGTGCTCAGCTCAAACTCCTTGCCCCAGCTTTGTTGCTGTATTCTCAGTTGCTTTGGCCCCTCAGTTTCTGTCAGTCTGCTTTCTTGTTCTCAGCTCTCCACGCAGTCTGGGTCCTTAGCCAAGTCTCCCTCCTCAGTTATAGTCTCTCACCCCATTTCAAAGCCTCCTCCTAGTTTTTCTCCTCTCTGCTGGTTCTAATTCTAACTTTTGGTCCCAATCAATTCCACTCCTTTTCTTCTTTGATGCGCCTGCATTTAGGTCAGAGGGCTTTGTACTGTATCACTTGTGAACACGCAGGAGAAAAAATATTCCTACAGCTTTCAATTTTGATGCTTGCCCTTACTTAACCTCAAAGAAGTGGAAGCCATTAAAGGGAAAGGCTTTGAATGTCCCAAAAGAGGCCAAAGTCACCAGAAGTGAATGAAGCTCCTGTAATTCTGTCTTTACTGAAAGCTCTGCTCACTAAGAGCGTCTCAGGGCACCGCTCCCAAGCCTTGTCCTGGCTCCAACGCTGCCATAGGCAGGTCTACCTTCTTTCTCTGCTCTTGTTCTCACTGCTGCTTGTTCCTGTGTCATGTTGCACACTCAGCTGTACATATGTGACTGTTTGTGCTGTAAAATTAATGCGATCAGGAACTGATCCAGGGTAAAAATAACTCCCCCAGAATAAAGGTTATATTTAACGCAGATCATTTCCCTGTTGCAATTTCCTGCATGGCCATATAAACAGCTGTACCAGTACAACTGCAAAGGCGATATCAGTGGAGAAGAACAAGAAAGAGCATGAGGTTTCCTTAGCTAGTCCTTTGACCAAAAGCAGCAGACATTGTTTCCATACTGAGCAATGTTCAAAAAAAAGCTAATAAAGACCTGCTAGAACTTCATAGCTAACGATGTGCAAACTGCTGTTTTCAAAGGAGAGAGCCTTGCCCAAACAGATGTGTAGTTTCGTACCTCCAGTAAGATACTTTCCTGATTAGGATAAACCTTTTTCAAAAAAATTCTTCCCCTTTTCCCTTGATTTCAAATTCCTGATTTAAGTATGGGGATGCAAGACATTTTAGATAATTAGGTGGAAGCCTGAGAAAAAAAAGCTGTTACAAAACACATGTTAGCCCAAATAGATATTATTTTTTCTGACTGCAATCAACCAGTATAAGAGAAACCATTGGCAAGCGCTAAAAACAAGTACTGTTTTCACTGCTACATACCATATGTAAACACAAAAATAAGATCACGTTAATATTGAATTGCTAGTGATGTGCCCGAGCAGGTTCTCATTTAGCTTAACTGTTAAAAATGAGCCTTGTATGCCAAAACGCTCCTATTGGTTAAGAAATAACAAAAAATATATAACAGCAAATGGATCAAGCACACAAGTATCTAGTGTTTAAGTATCCTTTTTAACATAACAGTTACTATAAGGAAAACATAATCAAAATAAATATGCACGTACATAAATACGTCTGTTCTAATAACAGACCCTTAAGATGGCCATTTAAAACACCCACTCAGAAAAACAAACAAAAAATTAATGTTGATCTTGAGAGTAATTTGCAGGAACCTATGTCTGTTCTAAACCTTCATTAAACATTGGCTATTTGAACCCCAGGGAACAAAAACAAGATCTCACTTATGTAACTTATATCAGAAATCTTTTCACCACAGCTAATTGTAATCTACACAGATAATAAATTTATATATTAAATATAAATAATGCAGTTTACCATAACCCGCTATCCATTTCATAGATCCAGAGCTCATCATTAGGCAAATACACTTCATTTTCTTCAATTGACTAGAACAACAACAACAAAAAAGCAAATGTTAAATCAATTCTGCATTATACACCAATCTTTTGAAAATAAATTATGAAATCATGTTACTTAGCAACATTATGTAATCTTAAGGAGATAATCTACTAGTGCATAAGTCATACCTCACAATTATTTATTGGGTTATTAAAAGATTACAGTCAGCTCAGTAATGCTAATATTCCACATTTGATATTAGAAATTGAAAAAAATCTCAGTCTTGAGTTATCAAAAATGTGTTAAGCATTTCCTTTTATCACTTGTGTTTTGCAGATTGTTAACAAGGTCTTTAAGTACTCATTTTAGCACATGAAGATCATAAAAATGAAATTTGGCTTATTAGTAAATCAGAGGGAAGGAGAAAAGGGCTTCAATATTCAAAAAGTAATTGAAATATAACAAAAGATCCAACTTATAATAATATTACTACCAACTAGCACAACAGTAGCTGTAATATGAGTAGTGATTAAAGAATAAAGCAAACAAAAAAAACAGTCTCTTTTCTCAAGAGACTGGAAAAGCTGTTTCCCAGATAGACAACAATTCTCCTCCATTAAAACGATGTTACTGAAGTTTTTTATGGTTCTGGATGTGGTTGCTCTGAGCAAATTTTGTGGCATTGTTATCCTGCATAACTGCAAATATATAACACTAAAGATTTTTTTTGGAGAGGAGGAAAGGGTGGTTATTGTTAAAGATGATAAAAAATGGATAAAAGGGTTCTTCTTTACATAAAGAACTTTTTTCCTGGTTGAATCACTCCTTTTTATCATCTTTGGAAATCAAGGCTGCCAAACTCTGTGGATTGGTAAAGAACTGATAAAATAGCAGCAAAAGCCAACACCTGAATAAAAAGTCAGGGGAAGAAAAAATACTAATTTTACTCATAAGGGGCTAAATTCCTGAGGTGCTTCCATTAAAGGCACAATTTTTCCGGATTGTGTTACTCCATGAACAACTTGTTGCAACATAAAATAGACAGGAATTGAAATTCCCAAATTAAAAATCCCTTCCTGCTTTAGGAAATATTTTTAACTACTAGGCATTCTAGGCATAACGGGAAAAAATACACAGACAAACGTAACTGAAAAGCACAAAAAGAACAGTTGCTTGTAGTGACTGAAGGAAGAAGGTTTTTTTAAAAAAAGTCATATACAAAATAGCTCCACTATATCGTAACATGAAGCAGCACCTTAATTCTGTGGGAAACAGATCTATGAGGACTCCCAAACTGAGGCCATATAAGAAAGAAAAATGACTGGGGAAATAATGATTAGGAATAATAGCAAACAGGAGGAATGAAGACTGAAAGAACACAGTTGCAGAACTCAGCTGAGATAACAATAATGTCATTAACTATTGTCTTAGCATTAGCAAGAGAAAGACCTGAAACTGTTGAGAAAAGAACAGACTTAGTAAATTAAAAAAAAATAGATCAAAAGTTAAGGAGTGAGCAAAAGAAGTTTAATACAAAGTTAAATTGAATTCACTGATTAACAACTAAATTACTGATATTGATTACTTGTCTTTAAATGATACTTTACTTAATTACCTTATCAATTTGAAAGCTGTCAACCAGGCATTCAAGCACTATGTTTGGTACAGTTTATATTGCTAGGTGGTAGGACCTGCCGTCATACACAGCTTGCTGCTTTCACAACATGCAAAAATCTGTAAAAATCCTAAACTGGCTCTAGGTATTTCAGTGGTGAGAGGCCAAGCATTTGCTACAGAACAAGCTCTGAGCAAATACATTCATGCTAAGATTATATTATGCTAGGGCATCATGCTGGGCAGCAGTCCATCATCAACATTAAAAGTGTAAACTGATTGACCTCTGTAAAGTGCTGTTGAAACCCCAACTTAATGATTTTCATAACACTCTACACAAGTGAAAATGTAAACTCGCTAAAAACGCATTTAGCGGTTTTATTTGCTAAACTTGACATATTCTTATTGTTCCATGAAGACAGAATTCTTTATCAGAAAGACTTTGAGAATAATGCACTAGTCAATCCAGTCTTAGTTGCCAGAAACCAAAGCATAAAGATTATCAAATATTTCTAGTTATTTAAATATTGCCTAGGTCTACAGAGTATTATAGTGTTTAAGGCCAGAAAGCAACATTACATCTTCCTGTACCTTCACATCTCTGCCTACATAATGTACTACCTACCCAGGACATCTAAAGGGAAGAAAAGCTCAGGGAAGTGTTACAGGTGCCATTCCCAGGAGTTCTACAACTTCATTAATTTGGGATCAGGCAAGAATGGGCATGCTAGTAAGCAGGCAATAGCCTGGAGTAGGCACTGCAGTAACACAGCAGGTCAAACCCTGCCCACAGTCAAACTTCTCCCCACAGTTAAGGGTCTGTATTTCAACTGTTTGTATCTTCGGTATTTCACTGAGGGCACCCTTGTGGCAACACCTTTTTTCAGTCAAATGCACCAAGTTCAGGATTAGAGTAAGCTCAGGAATAGGGCAAGCTCAGCTTTCCAGGGACTCCAGATCACAAACGCTCATCAAGTCCATCCCTCTGCCATTTTAGGCACTATTTTATTTTAAGCCATTTAAAAATAAAATCCAGAACTTCCCATTTAACTCTTCTGTATTCAAACAAGGAAATAATTTTTAATTTCGCACATTTTTGCGCTTGTGAAAGCTTACCTTTCCCTGTGAAAAATATAGATACAAAAACCTTGCAATACTCCCAGCAAGATGCTTTCAGCCTGAGCAAGATCAGGTGTAATACAAAACATTGCTACCTATTTTCACGTTTTAGGGCCAGCGTGATTAGACTGGGAGAGACCACACTGGCTGTGGATAGCGGACAGTATCATTAATAGCTCTCTTTCACTCTGAATTAACCCAGAGCTAAGAGTCACAAGGATTTATTTATACCAGAACTGTCAGTGCTCCTTTGAAGGAGGAAAGCAGGTGTGTTCCAGTCGAAAGTCAGTAGATCTTAGAGGTGACAGGACTGCTTTTCTGAGGGAGGAGACATACTGTGCCTGACACACACACACACACACACACAAAAAAAAAGGCAACAAAAAACCTCAAACGACTAAAATATGTGGCGACTCAGAAGCAAGAAGGTGAAGGCTACAAATGGATTATTGATGATTATTGGCAAAACACACTCTGCCATTAGAGCCGTCACCCTCACGCTGGGAGATAGGGGAAGCAAATATTTATTCAGCCCAGAGCGCGCATGAAGTAAATATTTGTAGGACAGAGGAAGTGGCCCAGCTCCACGAACCTGTCCCCGGTCCCCGCTGCGTAGGGCAGGGAATGGAACAC